GTAGAGCTAAAAATAGAAGACACGTTTATCGGCTTTTTGAAAGTTCACATCGCAAAGTAACCAAAAAAGAGGTGGCAAGTTCCCTTCTCTTGCACAATTTTTGAAATTTTCGCATTAGGATTACTTGAAATCTGTTTATATTTTAGGTATATGTTGTCTTCGGCAATGTTGCCGATAACAACGCGAGGAATATTTTGGCCAACAATTTTAACCCTCAAGCGAGTCACGAAGTGTCCTTTTTGATACCTTTTGTCAAAATATGGTTAAAACTCTCATTGAACTGGATGATAGCGAATCAAAATATTCTACAAAATGAGTTGTCATTCAATTCTACTATATGTTGTAGAAGACGTCAAAAGTCTAAATTTTACCTAAACGCCAGGAATTTATATATATATATATATATATATATATATATATATATATATATATATATATATATATATATATATACATAGTAAAAATACATTCATATATATTGAAAACACATGTGAATACCCTACACCATTTGAAGCCAATTTGAAATTTTCAAAAAAAAAAAAAAATAAATAATAAAATCAAAAATTGAATCAGTAAAAAATTCTGTGAAAATCTTAGAAATACCGAATATAGGGAGTTACCGTTATTTTGGGTCTATACGAAGACGTGGACCTGCATAGACAGTTTTCTGTCACAGGCTCTAGTGCCTACCCTTCAAATACGAAATTTCAAACAATTTCGGTGAATATTGTAACTAAAATCATCAATATAGTGGCTATACGAAGACCTAGACCTGCATAGACTTTTTTCTGTCGTAGACTGTAGTTCCCAATACGAACTCTAAATTCGAAATTTAAAACAACTCCGGTGAATAATGGCCCTAAAATCGTCAAAATATGTGTGCTATACGATTCGTGGACCTATACAGACATTTCTCTTCCAAGGGGTAAAGTGCTTAGAAAGAACTTCTAGTATGGATTTTTAGACAATTCCATTGAAAAATGCAGCTTAAATACGTTAAGGTACAGTTATATGGGAGATATACGATATCCTGGACCCCTTTTGTGGATTGTGGAGACAATTTCATTGAAAATTTTGGCTACAATCATTAAAATACCGAATATCGAGGGTTATCGTTATATGGGGGCTATACTGTCGTCTTAGAATTTTACGCTGATCAAGCATATATCTACAGAGTGAGATTAAAAAAAACTGCAACAAAGTCAAACGCCATAATTTTTACATTTTTTTTTTAATTTTATTGAATGAAAGCGAAACTAATGTCGGAAATAGCATCAAATTTTAGTATTAGTTGAGGATTGTTCGAATTGGTCACCTTTGGCACAAATTATGGCCTTCAAACGGCCAATGAAACCTTCACACGCTGCCCGAATGTTGCTCTGCGGTATTTTGGCCCATTCCCGGCGAAGCGATCGGCACTTTGGTATTGTTGCTTTCCAAAATACTCTAGACACAATAGTCCAACGAATTGGTATCCGTAGATTTGGGTGGCCATTGTGCGCTGGAAATGAAACTTAATTTTGGAGGAACTTAATTTTGTAACCATTTTTGGGTGGCGCGTGCTGAGTGCGATGGTGCTGAGTCCTGTTGGAATGTCCAAGATCTGCGGCCAAAATATTTGCGTGTCCAAGGCTTTAATAAACCCTCCAGAATATTTTCGCTATAATATTCGGCATATTCTGATGCCACGGTCGATTAATACGAGCGGAGAGCGACCATCGGCTGTTATGGCGGCCCACACCATCACCATGGCCGGCACTTGAGGTCTGGTGGCCAACCGAAGGTGCACATTTTCAGCTGACCACTTTGATTGTTTACAAACTGCTGGACAGCGAATGTTTTCTAATCGGAGAAAACCAAATTCGGCAGTTCACCACTTTCGGCCAAGCGAAGCCAATCTTTACCTCTTTTGAGTCTATTTTCTTTCTGTTGCGGTGAAAGTTCTTACACATTTTGGAATTTCAATGGCTTTACCTAGAGCTCATTTTTCAATATTTGCCGAATGGAATATTGCGATTTCAATTTTTCGGCCACTGCGCCGCGGGTTTCGATCAAGTCGTTTCTTTACTTTTCGAACCATTTCTGCAGATGTTGCTGTTTTCTTCCGTCCACTTCCTTGACGTCGGGCTACGCTACCAGTATCACGGTAGTGAGTGATGGCAAGAGACACAAAAGATTTATTCACATTCAAATGCTGGAGTGCTCTAACGGTAGTCACTTGTGGTTTTCCAGCCAAATATAATGATATCACACTATTACGCTTCATTTCCATCACGAATAACTTTTTTTCTGGAAAATTCTCACCAAAATGCTTTTGAACGCTTGTAAACAATATAATGAGCTGTCAGTGGAATAATTTTAACAGCTGTCGGACAAGTGGCTTAGAAATAACAGCAGTCTGAAATTGGTTGCAGTTTTTTTCATCTCATCCTGTAAGTTCCCTCTGGACTCTAATAGTTTGACATGGCTACAGAAATGGGGTAACAACTTAAAAAAATGAAAACCTAACCTTAACATTGACTCCACAAATGTTTTCCGTAGCTAAATTAAGAAAATTGGTAAAATGTGATAAGGCATATTTCATGAATAACGATTTTCTTGGAGCTATAAATTCTAAATTCTATAAATTCTATTGTGAATTAACTCATTACAACCGGAAAATTCCACACAAAATTTATAAAAATAAATGTTTTCACATTAAGCCGATAATAATTAAAAAAACATAGACTGCAATTTTCGTTTTATCTTTGACGTAGATTTCCTGCGTCAAAAAACACATCTCCGACAGTTAAAAAAAAAAAAACAATTTTTTGACATATCTTAGACATTGTAATTTGTATATTTTTAATTATGATCAATTAATTATATTACAAATAATATTTAAAAATATTATTATATATTTTTAATTTTTTTGCGGTTATGGGCGGATTCTCAAAAAAAAAAACCTGTTTTCTTCCAATCAATCAATTATCACATTTTGAATTTGAAATGAAAACATTCATTGATCTACAACTCAAAAAAGAAAAATGTCAGTAAACAATTGGAAGATGTGAATTTCTAACGAAGAGTAATATTGATTTTTTTTTTAATTTTTTCAAGCTCCTTCCGAATGGAGGCCATAACTCCTTAAATATTGAGTTTTCGGCGTTTTTAGCTATTATTTGTGATCACTTTTTAAGGCATGAGTTACTGAATACTTCAAAATGACCATAACTCGTTAAATATTGAGTTTTATTAGGAAATTAACTCTGAAACTAAATAATGTTTCTGAAAAGATTATTTAAAAAAAATCCACAAGTCCATAAATCCATAATATCCAAATTTTAGCATACAATATGCAGGGTGAGATGAAAAAATTGCAACAAACTTCAGAATGCTGTCATTTATAAGCCACTCGTCCGACAGCTGTTAAAATTATTCCAGTGACAGCTCATTATATTGTTTGCAAGCGTACGAAAGCATTTTGGTGAGAATTTTCAAGAAAAAAAGTTATTCGTGATGGAATTCAAGCGTGATAGTGTGATTTCTTTATATTTGGCTGGAAAACCACAAGTGGCTATCGTTAGAACACTCCAGCATTTAGATGTGAATAAATCTTTTGTGTCTCGTACCATCGCATCGCTCGTTACAGTGATGCTGGTAGCGTAGCCCGACGTCAAGGAAGTGGACGGAAAATGGCTCGTGCGCTAAACATATCGCAATATTCCATTCGGCAAATATTGAAAAATGAGCTCCGGCTAAAACCATTGAAATTCCAAAAAGTGCAAGAACTTACACCGCAACAGATAGAAAATAGATTCAAAAGAGCTAAAGTGTTGCTTCGCTTGGCCAAAAGTGCTGAACTGCTGAATTTCGTTTTCTCCGATGAGATGAGGTTCCTCGCTTTATTTTCAGCACACAATGTCCACCAAAATCTCCGGATACCAATCCGTTGGACTATTGTGTCTGGAGTATTTTGGAAAGCAAGGTTGGTACTAAAAAATACCAAAGTGTCGATTACCTCAAGCAAGCACTTCGCCGAGAATGGGCCAAAAATGGGCCAAAATTCGGGTAGCGTGTGACGGTTTCAATGGCCGTGTGAAGGCCATAATTCGTGCCAAAAGTGACCAATTCAAAACAAATCTAAACTTATTCAAAAATTTGATGTTATTTCCGAAATTTTTTGCTTTCATTCAATAAAAATTAAAAAAAAAAATGTAAAAATTATGGCGTTTGACTTTGTTGCAGTTTTTTTTTTATCTCACCCTGTATAGATCCAAACTCCAATTTTGTTAAGAAATCCACAAAATTATTATAGCTTCAAAATTGTTTTAAAAAAATTCTGGAGCAATGTCTTAAAAATGTAATACATACATCTATAACAAATATTCTTAAAAAATTTAAAAATTATAATTAAAAATTAATGAAATCTACACGGTTGAAGCTTTTTTAAAAATATATTTCCAAAATGATTAATCCCGAAAATTTCTTAAAAAAAAATTTTTAAAAATTCCTTTAAAGCTGACTTGAAATATTCACCATAACTACTCCGTAAATAGACCTTTTTTCTAAAAAAATTCTATTCATGGCCTTCAAAAATAGGTTCAGTTTACATTTTTATTTTTTTTCAAAATAAATTTATTTTTTTTTTTTTGGTAAACAAAACAAGGTACTTATGTGCGAAATTAAAACAAACAAACGAATCGTCACAAAATTGCAAACCTCGAAGAGGAAGGAATAAATTAATTCACTTCGACGTCAAACCTGTAGTGGAAATCTTCCATATTTTTTGTTTTTATATTTTTTTTAATTGCGGAATCAAATTGCACATTAACAAAAATGTGCTCTGCTATTAAGTTGCTTAGAGGCGTTGAGCATTTGTGGGCTTGACTTAAATACATAACTAAATTAATTTTAATTACTAGAGAATGCCTTTTCTACTGTTTGTTGTTGTTATTTGCAATAATCTTAATTATTTATTCATTTTTTTCTTCTTCTTCCGTTTCTCCGTCTCATTGCAGATTTCAGTTACGTGGTCCATTAATTATATGGAATACAATGCTGGCCATGTTCAGTATTATGGGTGCATTCCGTACCGCTCCAGAACTTTTGCATGTCTTACGTCATTATGGACTTTTCCATTCCGTTTGTGTTCCTAGGTAAGTGGCCGCAACACGTTTTTGAATAATATTTATATATCTAAGTGTTATTGATGCTTTGTCGATTTGCATATGAAATTATTTTGGGAATCCAAGTGAGAATATATTATTGCAGGAAATTTAAGCGTGTTTTTGTTTCGACCACCAATGTTTTGGGTGCTAGCGTAACGTCAGCGTATCGAAGAAATGTATTTCAAATTTTACAAATTTATTAACCCCAATTGTTGCCAAATTGCTGCCGTAAGATTTGAAAAAGGTTCGTTGAAACCGGAAAAGTACGTCAAAACTGACGAGGGTTTTATGTAATGACAGCTATATTCGTAAATTATGGGTTAATTTAAAAAAAAAATCTCAAATTTTAAATCTCACGTAAACGGCAGGAATTTATAAACTTTAAAATAACTTTTGGGGTTTAAGTGTTACCACATGTGAGTTTGTGCAGAATTCTCTTATAAAACACAATTTTTAAAGGATGACGTCAAAGACAAAATTATTCTTGATCAAATTTCACTATAAGTCGCCGAAGAAGAGAAATCTTTCTTTTCATTATATATTAAGAAAATATTCGTTGCAATTTTGCTAAAGGTACGCCAAAATATTTCAACTTTTTAATTAATTTTTGTTCGACCTTTTGATCGAGTTGATGCATGAAGGTAACCGAAAAATTCGTTTTAGGCAGAAAGTCTCAAAGGAGGAAATATTCTACATCAAATTTCACTATAAGTTTCAAAATAAACTAAATATCCGGCTATAATATTTTTTAAGAAAAATACATTCAAACTTTATAGATATGAAAATGAAAATTACACGTTTACGTTTTTGGCTGTTAAATGTACACGTTTTCTATCTGATATAAAAATCTCCCATAAAATTTAATTTTTTGGGAAAAGTGTCAATTCAACACCAAATTTCACTATAAATCTGAGAATAAACTATGTATCTATGTAAACTATTTTTTAAGGAAGTTATATAAGAAAGTGGTAATAATATGTTTACGTTATTGACTGTTCATTTTATACGTTCCTAGTCTAAATCAAAATCTCCAATAATATTTCATTTTAGGGAATAGGAGTTGAAAGAAGAAATGTTCTAGATCCGATTTTATTATGAGTTTTGTACTGTTAATTTTATACATTTCATACATTCTTGAACTATAAACAAGTTAAAAAGTATCAGTCGGTATTGCCGACAGATATATACCCTCAGCCTATGTTCGATTAAATAATCAAAATATATTTGACTAGTGTTACAATTATTCAAACGTTTGGCCCTCTATGGAGCAGGTTCCGAAGGAATGGACCAATATTGTCCATTTCGTATCGTATATATAAATATTCCGACGTTCCTGGTATGGATTATATCGACTAACTCCTTCACTTTATATGAGATATGTAATAATTTTTAGAAAATGTTAAAATGTGCGTGATGTACCAGATAGAGGCTACCGAAATATTTCATTTTATAAAAATATTGGAATGTGTGAAATTTGAAGACGTTCGGATCTTTACATCACATTTTATAAGAGTTATAATTATTCAAAATGTTGACCCTTTGTGGGGGAGGTACTTGATGGAGTGGACCGATGCTGTCCATTTTAGCACCTGACCTAGGACTGACACAAATATTAGGATTTGCAAAGTTAGACCTTTAATTTCGACCTTTTGTGGGGGAGGTACCAAAAGGAATGGACCGATGTATTCACTCTTAACACCAGACATTAGGTTAATAAAAATATTGGGATATGTGAAATTTGAAGACAATCGGACTCTTACATGACATTTTATAAGAATTGTAATTATTCAAAATTTTGACCTTTTGGGGGGGAGGTACTTGATGGAGTGGACCAATATTGTCCATTTTCGCACTTGACCTAGAACTGACGCAAATATTAGGATTTGCAAAGTTCGAGAAAAATCGGATTATTGCTTCTCTTTATGTGCAGAAAATAAATATATATATTTTTTTTGAAATTTTCGACATTTTGTGGGGGAGGTAATTGAAGGAATGAACCGATACATTCCATTTTCACACCAGACCTTGGGCCAATAAAATTATTGGGATGTGTGAAATTTAAAGACTATCGGACTCTTACATCACATTTTATAAGAGTTGTAAGTATTCAAAATTTTGACCCTTTGTGGGGGAGGTACTTGATGGGGTGGACCGATATTGTCCACTTTCGCACCTGCCATAGCACTGATGAAAATATTAGGATTTGCAAAGTTCGAGCAAAATCAGATTATCGTTTCTCTTTCTGTGCAGAAAATATTTTTTGAAAATTTCTACCTTTTGGGGAGAGGTACCAGAAGGAGTGGACCGATACATTCCATTTTCACCCCAGATCTTGGTCTAATAAAATTAATGGGATGTGTGAAATTTGAAGACGTTCGGATCCTTACATCACATTTTATAAGAGTTATAATTATTCAAAATGTTGACCCTTTGTGGGGGAGGTACTTGATGGAGTGGACCGATACTGTCCATTTTAGCACCTGACCTAGGACTGACACAAATATTGGGATTTGCAAAGTTAGAGCAAAATCGGATAATCGTTTATCTTTCTGTGCAATAAACTCGTTTCTTTGAAAATTTTGACATTTTGTGTGGGAGGTACCAGAAGGAGTGGACCGATATCGCCCATCTCCGAACTCGATCTAAGTTTGACAAAAATATTACGATGTACCAAGATTGGATCAAATCGGATACTTCCTTTGAGAGTTATCGTGCGCACCAGCCAGCCAGACAGACAGACGGACGGACGGACGGACATCGGTAGATCGACTCCAAATGTTCTGAATCGGATTTGGTCCAAAGAGACCTAGGGTCTAAACCCGTTATTTCGACTAGGCACGTTTTGACCGTATCAAATGATATATACCCTCTGTAGCCATATGGCTGAGGGTATAACAAGAGACCCCAATATTTTTAGCTATATTTCACAATATTTAATATAGAGCTTTCAAACTTTATGGAGAACTTTGGATTACTCCAAGAATCACTTGTTTAAAAAATGGGTCGTGCGGATCTTCTTTATAATGTAGCCTCTATATAAGAGTTGACCCCAATTTCGAGCATTTCTTTAGTTCTTTAGTGCCTCATCGAAATAACGGTTTCAGATCCTAGGTTTCCAATTTCAAGCATTTCTTTAGTTCTTTAGTGCCTCATCGAAATAACGGTTTCAGATCCTAGGTTTCTTTGGTCCAAATCCGTTTCAGGACCTTTGGAGTCGATCTCGCGATGTCCGTCCTCCCGTCCGTCAGTCCACCTGGATGGTCACGATAACTCTCAAAAAAAGAATCCGATTTGGTGTAAACTTTGTAAAACATCGTAATATTGTTATCAAACTTAGATCGAGTTCGGAAATGGTCGACATTTTCCAAAAAAAAATATTTTACTGCACAGTAAGAGAAAGAATAAGCCGTTGCTCCAACTTTACAAATCCTAATTTCTGCATCAGTTCTAGGTCAGTTGCGAAAATGGACAATATCGGTTCACTCCACCAAGTACCTCCCCCACAAAGGATCAAAATTTTGAATAATTCTGACTCTTATAAAATGTGATGTAAGAGTCCGATTGTCTTCAAAATGCACACATCACAATATTTTTATTAACCCAAGGTGTGGTGTGAAGATGGAATGTATCAGTCCACTCTTCTGGTACCTCCAAAATTTTGAATATTCATGAAGCTCATAAAACGCGAAATTATCACCCGATTCCATTCAGACTTGACACATCTCAATATTTCTATCAACACAAGATCTGTTATAAAAATGGTAGAGATCGGACCAAACCTTCTGGTACCTCCCCCACAACGGGTCAAAAATTTGAATAATTATATTTCCTAATAAAATGAGAAATAAACATCCGGTTCTCTTCACATTTCTCTCATCGCATTATTACCTACTTACAAAAGATCTGCTGAGAAGTTGGAATATATCGGTCCATCCCTTCTGGTACCACCCCCACAAAGCGTCGAAATTTTAAATATCCTAAAACACGAAATTAACATCCGATTCCATTCAGATCTCAAATATATTTATCAACACAAGATCTGTAATAAAGATGGTAGAGATCGGACTATCCCTTCTGGTACCTCCCCCACAAAGGGTCAATGTTTCGAATAACAAAAACGATTATTCAATCCGAAATAAGCATCGGGCTATCTTCATATTTCACACATCCCATTATTTCTACTAACACAAGATCTACTGTGAAATCTACGTACTCTTTCTGGCACTTCGCCCACATAGGGTTCAAGATTTTGAAAAACAAAACGCTCAAAGATAGCGAAATAAGCATCCAACTCTCTTCAAATTTTACACATACAAACATTTGTGCTAACACAAGATCTGCTGTGAAGATGATAGATATCTGCGAACCCCATCTGGTACCTCACCAGCAAATGGTCGAAATTTTCAATACTTTTATCTGTCATAACTTGCGAAACAAGTCCCTTAGCCAGAAATCTAATATAAATATGGAATTACTCGGAATTTATGGTTTCGCATAAAATTGAATATAAATATTCGATTTCCTTCAAATTTTGCACATACCAATATTTTTATCTGTATTAGATGAAGTATGAAAATTGAATACCTCCTCGGTCCACTCACGCTTATTTCCACATTTTCCAAAAATTTGCGCATATCTCATATAAAGTATAGAAAGTGGTCGATATAGTAGTCCAAATCTGGCACATTGTAATATTTTTATCATATTTATTTAGGACCTCTACGAAATAGACAATATTGGCTTATTCTTTCTGAACCAACTCCATAGAGGTTGAACAATTTGAATAATCATCAGAAGTCAAAATATATTAAAAAAATCGAACATTGGCAGAGGGTATACATCTGTCGGCTGATACTTTTAAATTTGTTGTAGAATATTTTGAATTGTTACGTTCCCATTTAAATGCATTTTTTATCTATTGGCTCGCTTGAGGCTTAAAATTGTCGATTAAAATAATAACTACATTGTTATCATAAATATTACCAAAT